TGTTAAAGCATCCTCCCTATAGTCCTGATCTTGCTCCATCGGATTTTCACCTGTTTGGTCCCTGAAAGCAGCCCTTGGAGGATGAAGATTCACCTCTGATGAAGAAGTGAAGACAACAGTGCCTAAGTGGCTCACAGCTCAGCCTAAAACATTTTGAAATAAGGGAATATAAAAGTTGCTGACAGATGGGCAGAGTGTATTGAACAGCGAGGAGATTATGTTGAAAAGTGTTTTCTAAAAGTTGATTAAATTCTGCAGCTGGAGTGCAATACATTTGTATTCACCCTTATACATTTCAAAGACAGCGGGAACTATGGCAATGAAACAATATACGATAGGATGAATGTAAAACTAATGTTCTCCCATGTAAACTATCACATAATTCACAATAAAACATTAAAAAAAAATTTAATGAGGTTGAATTTCATCTCCATCATGGACTAATTCCAGCATTTTGCACTTTAAGATGCAACATTGCCAAAAGAGAGGCTAGTTTGGGTAATTTTATAAGCTTTGGGGTTAACACTGAATCTTTTTCTCTTTTTTAACTTTGGATAAGTCATTTCAATCACCCAAAAATAATCGTTAGTTTTCAAATTAAATTACCTAATTACATGTCTTAAAAAACAAAGCCAACTAGAAAGTATATTATAAACTGCCATTAGCCTTCATTTATCAGATAGGTAATTGACTAGACTTTGGAATATCTCAGTTTTTACTTAACTTCTGTCACTGATTATTAAAGTTTTGGTAAATTACCGAATTTTCCTGTGCTTCAGATTTTCCGTTTGTAAATTAGATATAAAATCTGAACTGACCTACTTTGAAAATTGAGAATATGTGAAAAGCCTTTGAGTTATTCTGAAGATGTTATCTAAATCCAAAAGCTGATAGGTTACAAACAAAATTAAGAAATTTTTTAAATGCACATTTATGTATTAATACATGCAATGCTACTCTTTTGAATGTACTGTATGAAAGGTTTTCATTTCAAAATTAAGAGTTTAGAAATATTTCATAAAACAAACAAGTTTCTAGACTGGAAACAGATTTTAATATTTAAAAAGTAGGAAAATGGAATTTATCATAGTATAATGTATTTATTAACTAACTTTATAAAAGATCAAATATGATACATGATTTGTGACAAATAGAATTTAAAAAATTAATTTGAAGTGATGGTCAATGTTAGTTCGATTCCAGATATATAAAAATCATATTCATTTGTATCTGACAGAAAAATTCTATAAATATTTTCTTCTGTCTTTTTAATGTATGTGTTTTCTATAATTCATGAATAAGTTCCTAGTGCACTGGACTGCAAGGTGGGTGGTTCAAGCTCACTAGCTGCTCCTTGGAAAACCTATACAGTGTCGCTATGAGTGAAGGCCAACTCAACGGCACTTAACAACAAAAGCGAGGGTTATTTGGTTCTATTTATTACATCACCTGGAAGAACGGTCTACAAAGATGACACTTTGAGAAGTAAGGTGTGCTTGACCCAAACAATAATATTTTTTAATTGCCTCATGCATGCAAAACTGAACAGTAAATAAGGAAGACTAAATAATTGGTGCCACTAAATTGTCCTGTTGGCAAAGAATATTGAATATGCCACTGACTATCTGATGTGGCACTACAGGATAAGCATTGGACTGCTAACTGTACAGTCAGTGGTTGAAACCAACCAGCCACTCCTCAGAAACTGTATACAGGGTCATTATGAGTAAGAACCAACTTGCTAGCACTTACCAACCACCACCACCACCACCAAAAGAATGAAAAATCTGTCTTAGAAAAAGTATAGCCAGAATGTTCCTTAGAAGTGAGGATGGTGAGACTTTGTCTCATGTTCTCTGGACACGTTATTAGGTGGAACCAGTCTCTGGAGAAGGGCATTGTATTAGGTAAAGTAGAGGAATCAGTGAAAAAGAGGAAGATCCTCAACAAGGCGGACTGACACAGTGGTTGCAATAATGGACTCAAACATAAGCAGTGCTTGTGAGGATGGCGCAGGACCAGGCAATGTTTCAGCTGTACACAGGTTACATAGATGACGCGATGGTCAGAACTGAATTGACAGTACTAGGAGTCCTGGTGTGGTGCTATGGGCTAATGTGTCAGACTGCAAAGCCGTCTGAACTGCAAGGTCGGTGGTTCAAGCTCACCAGCTATGGGTCGGAATAGACTCAACAGTACTTAGCAACAACAATAACAAAAGAGTGGTCTGTAAAAACAAAATATGAGGTTTGACATCTAACAATTCACTGAACAGAATTTTTTAAATCTTTCTTTAAAAAGTACGAGGTAGAAATAACTCAGAATATAAGGCTAAGATTTTTATATGTCAGTCTGAGAAATGAAATCCCTGATTTTCTGTTCAAAATAAACAACTACTTACTGGAAAACAACCACTTACCCTTGAGAGCCGCACAGTGCTTTTTAATTGCTACAGGAGTCAAATGCAAAAAATTGGGGATCTGAAATAAAGAAATTTAAAGCATGAAACAACCAAATGTTTTAAACATGAAAAAGATAATTTTCTCAAAAAAGTAAATCATAGGTCCAACAAACATTATAATAAAACCTGATAGCTTATATGTCACAGATGTTGCATATTCAAGAAATAAATTCATTATAATAAAGAGCACCTTATGAAGGAGCCCTTGATGACACAGTGGTTCAACACTTGGCTGTGAACTAAAAAATAGACGGTTCCAAGGGAGAAAAATGTGGCAGCCTGTTTCTGTAAAAATTACAGCCTCAGAAATTCTCTGGGGCTGTTCTACCCTATTCTAAAGGATCGTTACTATGACTTGGAATCAACTCAACTATGAGTAGCTTATGACAAAAATGATGTTGGAAAAATAAACGAATGAACATCACTTTATAACTATTCTTTGTTATTAGCGCCAGAGAGTCTGTTACGACTCATAGTGACTCTGCATAGGGTTACCAAGGCTTGTAAATCATGCTGGAGCAGAAATTCTCATCTTTTTCCTGCAGAGTTATGGGAATACTTTATAGTATTCTTTCTAATATTAGCACTACAGGTGTACATACGTGTTTCCCTTACAAAACTGAAAGTACTTAATGAGAGATTTCATTATTTGTGGTTGTTAAGTGCAACAACTGAGTCACTTCCGACTCATAGTGACCCTGTATAGTTTCCAAGGAGCAGCTGTTCAGTTTGAACTGCTGATCTTGTGGTTCAGAGTCTAGTTAGTGCTGATGCTACAGCACCACACCATTATTATGTAATCATTATTTAATCATCCCCAAATCTCTACAACACATAAAATCTGGAGCATTTTTACTTTATGCTTAATAAACATTTTCTAATTTGAATGAGTAAATAAATAAAGTTTGTGAGAAGTTGGAAACATTTTTATGATGATTCATTCAGAGGCCACATAATCATTCTTAGGGTGCATGAAATTTCTAAAATGATCAGCAATTTGAAGTCCTTCAAATAAATAATTAGTATCATTAATATATCTTTTAAGCATCTAAAGAGAACATTTAACTTAGAGAGACTCATTTGGAAAGAAAATTCTGCTTCTAGATATAAAGAAATTAAAGCTGGCAGACTGTAACAATAAATGTAAAAAACATTCTACCTTTCTAGAACATTTTAAAATATCTCTTTTAAAAGTGGACCCCTCACCTCCCAATTCTCAACCTATACTAGGCTATTTCACTTTTCTCAGTACCATTGGTTGTTGTGCTGTTAAGGGACTTCCAAGTCGGTTCCGACTCAAAGTGATCCTGTATAGGTGAATTTGAACCACTGACCTTGTAGCTCAAGCCAACATTTTGGTCCAGTGCTTTATCCCACAATGCCACTCCAGGACTTTGAATTCAACCCAAGGAAATCTTTCAACTTGGAGAAAAATCATCTCTCAATGTCTCACATCTGCTAAGACTTTGCAGTGCAGCAGCAAAAATGTGTAATATATAATAAAAGTTAGATGCAAAAAATAAACTTTCTTGTACCCTCCTCCTACCCTCACACCAATTCCTATTCTAAAGTACACCCACTGTTTGTGCTGTCAATATTGTATCATACGCTTAATTGGAAACCTGTATCGAAAAGACTGAAACTGAATCTTTATCACAAAACCAGAACGAAATAAAATGAGTAATTACGCATATCTAATAAATACAGAAAAAAATGCCCCAAAATGAAACCACTACCATCAAGTCAACACTGACTCCTAGTAACCCTATAGGAAAGAGTACTACTACTGCTCCTGTGTTGTTGTTAGGTGCCATCAAGTTGGTACCGACTCATAGCAAACTTATGCACAGCAGAATGAAACACTGCCCGATCCTGGCCCAACCTCACTACTGTTGCCACACTTGAGTCCATCGATGCTGCCACTTGGCCAGCATCACTGGGGGGTCTTCCTCTTATTCTCTGACCCACCACCTTACCAAACATGACATCCTTCTCCAGGGACTGATCCCTCCTGACAATATGTCCAAAGTATGAGAGACAAAATTCAGCCATCTTGGCCTCCAAGGAGCACTCTAGCTGCACTTCTTCCAAAACGGATCTGTTGGTTCTTTAGGCAGCCCATAGCACTTTCAATACTCTCCTCCAACACCATAACTCAAAAGCATCAATTCTTCTACAGTCTTCCTTATTTACTGTGCAGCTTTCACATGCATATGAGGTTATTGAAAATACCATGGCTTGGGTCAGGTGCACCTTAGTCCTCAAGCTGACATCTTTGCTCTTCAACACTTTAAAAAGGTCTTGTGCAGCAGATTTGCCTAATGCAATACATCATTTGATTTCTTGACTGCTGCTTCCATGAGTGTTGATAGTTGATCCAAGAAGAATGAAGTCCTTGACAACTTCAATCTTTTCTCCATTGATAAGAATGTTGTTTATTGGTCCAGTGGTGAGGATTTTTGTTTTCTTTACATTGAGATGTAATCCATACCAAAGGCTATGCTCTTTGATCTTCATCAGTAAATGTTTTAAGTCCTCTTCACTTTCAGCAAACAAGGTTGTATCATCTGCATATCGCAGCTAGTTAATGAGTCTTTCCTCCAATCCTGATGCCACATTTTCCTTCATAGAACCCAGCTTCTCGGATTATGTGCTCAGCATACAGGTTGAATAGGTTTGGTAAAAGAATACAACCTTGTCACACACTTATTTTAATTTTAAACCATTCAGTGTTTCCATGTTCTGCTCAAACAACTGCCTCTTGGTCCATGTACAGATTCCTCATGAGCACAATTAAGTATCCTGGAATTTTCATATTTTGCAATGTTGTCCATTGTTTGTCATGATCGACACATTGTGTAGTCAATAAAGCACATCTTTCTGATATTCTCTTTCAGCCAAGATGCATCAGACATCAGCAATGATATCCCTCGTTCCATGGCCTCTTCTGAATCCAGCTTGAACCTCTGGAAGTTCTCTGTCAATGTATGCTTGCAGCCATTTCTGCATTACCTTTAGTAAAATTTGACTTGCATGGGATAGCAAATATACTGTCCAATGATTTCCACATTCCATTGGATCACTTCTCTTTGAAATGGACACAAATACGGATCTCTTCCAATCAGTCAGCCAGACAGGTGTCTTCCAAATTTCTTGGCAGAGTTGAGTGAGTGCCTCCTGTGCCGCCTCACTTTTTTGAAAGATTTCAGTTTTTATTCCATCAATTCTTGGTGCCTTATTCTTTGCTAATTCCTTCTATGCACCTTGGACTTCCTCCTTCAGGATCATTGGCTCTTGATCATATGCTATCTCTTGAGATTGTTGATCATTCACCATTTCCTTTCGGTACAGTGCCTCTGTGTGTTCCTTCCATTTTCTCTTGATGCTTTCTTCATCATTCAATAATTTTCCCAGACTTCTCCTTAGGGTTTCTGAAACTTTAAATCTTTCTGGAACTGATAGCTTCATCTTTCTACCCCCCCCAAGCGGCCAGTAGGTTTGAACCACCAACCTTGTGGTCAGCAGCCCAACACTTCCCGCTATATCACTAGGGTTCCTTATAGAAAAGATACAGTTGAAAATACAAAAAGAATCAGAGCAATTAATTATACTCTTAAATGCCTAGGATTCTTTTAGTTTAACTTAAAATATAACATACGTTACATAGAAAATTCAATTAAAATATGATATGCTAGTATAGACTGATCTATACAATGTAATAGGGATAAAGGATGACAATGCTTATTTGAGAATGTTATAAGTCTTAGCCAATGAACTGGCAACTTTTCTTACCTTTAAAAGTTCTAGATTTCCTTCCTTTGCCATGGGCACTCCCCTTTTTACTGGATAACCCATTCGAACCGGAAGGGGCACTGTAGAGGGTTTAAATGGTGCAGCAACAGGATAAACACTAGGCCAGTCTTGGTCAACAGCCATCTTCTCTGTCCGAGGAGGTAGTGCCTAAGGAACATAAAATAGTTTCATATTTGAAATCATAGCAAGTTCTTTAATTTAAAAATTTTAAAAGATGCAATTAAGAGTAATATAAGCAAAGCTATAGGCAACATAAATGTTGACAGTCATAAAACTGCTGTTTAAATGGAAAAAAACCCAAAATTCTTTGTATCACTTACTCAAACATATAGCAAGGATCCTCATATCATATTTCTTTCCCTAAAAACTTTTATTTACCTGATGTTAAGTGCCGTTGAGTCGGTTCCAAATCACAGAGATCCTGCATAGGGTTTCCGAACTGCCAACCTTGAGGATAGTAGTCCATTGCTTATCCTACAGTTCCACACCAAGACTCTTATCTTATTAGGCCATAACAAGTTTTTGACAATTTATTAGAGAGTGAGAAAGCAATACATTTTGAAATAATTTTTAAAACTTCTCTAATTGAAATCAATACACAAGGTGATAATGAGAGTTTGCAAATAAGGAATAGTGAAAACAAAGGATAAAAATTTGGAAATATAAGTGGAGCACAGGGTAGGGAATAGACACAGGATAGTCTGGGTGCTGGGGAAGGGGCGATACACAAGAAGGGGGAAGGGAGTGGAAGAACAAGGCGGATGAGAGAATAATTAGACAGGTTTGCATGGGCTAAGTGGGACAGAGGTAAAGAATGATGTACACACACCCTTGGAACAACAGGGCTCTGGGATACAGGGATTGAGGCACAGTTGGAATGGGCAAAAGCGGGGAAACAATGTTAAGATGCTTGGCTGTCTTTTGAATCTTGGTTTCCCTTGCATAACATTATAAAATAGACACTTGAGGGGGAGAAAAAGGAATAGCCAGAAATATCACCATAGAAAGCTTTTAAGTCCGTCTTGCCTATAACTAAGTGGAATACCTAAAATGGGGCAACAACGTGCCCAGTGAAGGAGGCTTCCTATGGAGCCTCTGCATTACATTAAGACCATAGGAGGATTCCTGAACCCCATCCAGAATCTTCTGAGGTGGGACATTTCCACCTGAAAGGACAAGCAGACCAGCCTGGAGCGGCTAAAAGAACAGTAGATACTTCTTGAAAGAAAGACCAATAGGAAAAATACAAAACAATAACAGCAGTCCAACTGACTACCACAAGAACAAGCAGGCTGCTCACCCAGGAGACATCAAGGCAAGTGGTTGGGCCCCCTCAGGGCAAATCCCCTTCCAAGACTAAGACTCAATGGGAATACACGAGCAGACATGCTTGCTGACTGGTGACCACATTGATCACCGATAAGGGGAAATGAGGGAAAAATAGCAATGAAGCTACGAACTAAGCCCTACAATGTTCAATAGACTCCTGTGAACCTGGGTGGAGACCTGGTTGGCCAGCAATATCGCAAGACCTAGGGACTCCTGGGCCCAGAGTCAGTGACACAGCCACAGAGGACTAGAGTGGAGAATGAAGCGTCCAGCTGATAAGAAGAGAGGGCATATGCACAAAAACACCCACACTTGCAGATAATATCCACTTGACCTGGCTTCAATGGCTGGATGATCAGAACTCAACTAGAAGAAGAAGAGGTAAAAAAGAGTAATCTGATACAATTTGATGAACCTGACCTACATCTATAGATGTAGTAGCTCAAAAGAGGAAACAAATCTTTTCCACCCCCTCAATACATATGGTAGACAGGGATGGGCAACTTAGACACTGGCTACCCAAAATAAGGGACCTACAAAGGCAAAAAGTGACTGGCTTACAAGCTTTCAAGAGAGAGCCTAGATCCAGAGGGTGTGGAGGAAGATAGAATCTCCACTGAGTAGTGCCCAATCTGTCTGGGCAGGACTGATGAAAGGAGATGGGGATAGCACTCATGTGGCACAATAGTGAATAACTGTTACCAGGACTGACTGTGAGGGTTGGAAATGTAAAGGTAGATGTTTTGTAGCAAAAGGAGGGGAGTGGTTGACTTTGCTGTCCAGGAGCTGAGGTCCCTGGGACCATCAAAGGAGAAGAACGGAGTGCGGGACCCTACCCAAAGAAACAGTCACACCAGAGATGGAGGCAGAGATGATGACGTGGAGAGATGGAGTGGCTGGAGACTCTAGACCCAGAGAGGGAGAGGGGCTTTGTGCTGACAACCACGAGTCAGGCTTACAGGGTATACCCTTTGGTTAGTTGATGATGCATGGAGGGGATTGTAACCATGGCAATGAAATGATTTACGACAGAATGAATGTAAAGCTAATGTTCTCCCATGTAAACTACCACAAAATTGACAGTAAAACATTAAAAGAAATTTGGAAATATATACATTAGGGTTCAACTAAATTAATTATACATAAGAAATTAAGTATCTTCTACGAACACAGAACAGCTACTTGAAGCTTAGTCAATCTCATTAACACATACTTAAAATTAAAAAAAAAAAAAAAGAAGCGGATGGCCAAGATGAATCCTGGTGTGACACTGTAAAATGAGTACTGGACTGCTAACCAAAAGGCTGGTGGTTCAAACCCACCAGTTGCCCCTTAGAAACCCTATAGAGGATTCACTATGAGTCAGAACTGACTCAGTACTTAACAACAAAGAAGCCCATCTAAGCTTCAGTGTAGCCCACCATCAGACAGTGTAGCTAGAGTGGGAGAAAAGCATAGAACAATACTTGAAATCAAAAGACCAGGCTTACTGGTCTAACAGAGACTGGTGTAGAACACATCCCCACCCACCCATCCCCACCCCGACTATGGCCCTTTGTTATTCTTCAAGCTCGGGACTGAACTTACTCCATGTGGCCAAACTTTCAGCCAAACAACAGACAGGTTTATAAGGTAAACAATAATACCAGTGAGGTACACACTCCTAGAACAATCAACCACACAAGATCAAAAGGGCAGAATTTGCCCAGGGATAAGTTCAGAAGACAGGAAGGGATAGATAAGAAGGATGAAGGGAAATAATAAACACAAGGAGGAAGCAGGAAGAGTATTATCACACTGTGGGGATTGTAGTCAATGCCATGATACAGAATGAGTATGAACTGCAGAATGAAAAATCAATTTGCTCTGTAAATTTTCACTCAAATTACAATTTCAAAAAAGAGAGAGAAAAACTATGGGCAAGATATTAGGGGTGACAAAAAATGAACACCACCAATAACCAAAAAAGCGGACACTGTAGCATATATCCTGGAGGCACGTAATACAGTATCTCTATGACAATGACTGTTTTATGGGCTACAGTGATTTGGTACCATTTCACTTCTAACTAGTATGACTTTGCTTTGATTCCATGCTCATCAACTCGCTTTACAACACGAACCTTCCATTAGAGATGCCCACAAAGTGACACTAGATTGGTGTGACTGATGCACATATCCCAGGCTGCATGACTGTTACAAGTGTAATCAAAAAGAATTCTGTATTCTTGCTTAAATGTGTGTCTCATCCTGCATGTATGCTTCACATTAAAGACTGAGACACTATTAAGAGAGTATATAGTACATTAAAAGGAGCTCTGGTAGCGTAGCGGTTACGAATCGGGCTACAAACCGCAAGGTCAGCGGTTTGAAACTACCAGCTGCTCCGCGGGAGAAAGAGGAGGCTTTCTGCTCCCGTGAAGATTTACAGCCTCGGAAACCCTGTTCAGGGTCGCTATGGGTCAGAACCGACTCGACGGCACTTAACAACAACAACAACATAGTACATTATATTAATCATTTACCTTTCTTCTCATCAGCCTTTCATTTCTGGGTGTTCTCATGTTTTCTGTTGTACCTACAAAATAAAAAAAAATAGTTATGTAGAGAATTTTAAAATGTAAAGTTGTTCAAACTCAATCATGATCTCATAATTCTAACACATTTAAGGTATTCAGCAACATAAAAATGAAACAATAACCTATTTTTTGTTAAGTTTATGGGCTAAAAGTATACTAATAAATACCAAAAGTAAGAAATACTTACGAAAAAACTATAGTTACTTGAATATAATGTTTATTGTGATTGCTGATATACTGAACTCATCACGTAAAGAAATATTTACAGTAATATTAAGGTTCAGAGAAAACAAAGTCTCTAAAGTGAAGCTGGATACACACGTAAACATGTGGAATTTTTAAGCATATTAAGTTGGAAATGTTCTGATTATAAATATACTTGCTCATATTTAGATTTTTCTGTTCTTTATAATCCTTCTGAGCCCCACCACAAAAAAGCTTTAGTTTTTCCTTTCCATTGTTTATTAGGACTGCCAGTGCACCAATAACAAAAATGATAGTCATTGCTAATAAACCACATGGCTGACTGTAAAAGATGGCAGATGATTTACATATAGACATTCAAAAATAGTACCTTATACCTCTCTAAATGGAGTCCTGGTGAAGTGGGATAGGTTAAGCACTGTACTGCTAACCATAAGGTCAGCAGTCCACTCCTTGAAAATCCTATATAGGGTTGCCATGCATCAGAACTTACTCGATGGCACTTAACAACAGCCTCTCTAAACAAGTATTTTGCTATACTGAAATAATCACAACTATTTATTGATCACTTCCACATGCCAGACACTGCTATATACTTTCCATCATCTCATCTTATTAAACAGTACAAAATGTAATTACTGTTATTATCCTTAATTTAGAGGTCAATACAGTGAAGCTAAAAGAGATTATGCAACTCTTCCAAGGTCAAATGCTACAAGTACTAACAAAACCCAAATGTATTTGATTCTAGAGCCTGTACTCTTAAATACTGTCCTATACTGTTTCCAATAGAAAAAGCATTATCCTAATAACATCAGGATTGAAGGAAGACTCATTAACAACCTGCAGTATGCAAATGATACAACCCTGCTTGCTGAAAACGAAGAGGACTTAAAATATTTACTGATGAAGATCAAAGACCACAGCCTTCAATATGGGTTGCACCTCAATGTAAAGAAAACAAAAATTCTCACCACTGGATCAATAAACAACATCCATGTAAATCGAGAAAAGATTGAAGGTGTCAAAGACTGCATTTTGCTCCTATCAACCATCAACACTCATGGAAGCAGCAGTCAAGAAACTAAAGGACATATTAAATTAGGCAAATCTGCTGCACAAGACCTCTATAAAGTGTTGAAGAAAAAAGATGTCAGCTTGAGGACTAAGGTGCACCTGACCCAAGCCATCTTATTTTCAATAACTTCATATGCATGCAAAAGCTGGACAGTGATTAAAAAAGGCCACAGTAGAATTGATGCATTTGAGTTACGGTGTTGGAGGAGAATGTTAAAAGTATCATGGACTGCCAAAAGAGCAAACCAATCTGTGTTGGAAGCCAGGACAGCCAGACATCGTCCCTCACACTTCGGACATATTATCAGGAGGGACCAATCTCTGGGGAAGGGTGTCATGTTTGGTAAAGTGAAGGGTCAGAGAAAAAGAGGAAGACCCCCAACAAAATAGATTAGCACAGTGGCAGCAGCAATGGGCTCAAGTAAGACTGGCATAGGACTAGTTAGTGTTTCATTGTGTTGTGCATAGGATTGCCATGAATCGGTACTGACTCAATGGCACCTAACAATAACGTCAGGATGGAGTTCTGGTGTGGTGCTGTAGGATGATCACTGGACTGCTAACTACAAGGTTGACATTTCAAACCCACCAGCCACTTCACACATGATCTTTACCATGATCGCTATGAGCCTGAACTGGCTCTTAATAACAACAACAAGTATCCAGTTTAGTGCAAAAACATCAGTATTGAGGACTTTTACTTACAGTAATGGTGTAATAATAACAATCAGATTTACCTCCAATATGAAATAACTGGGAACAAATGGGCAAAATATATGAAAACAATGGTTTTCGGACACTTGACACAAGTGGTGTAAGAGGAAAGAAAGGAGAAAGGTGATTAAGCTTGCTTCCTGCTGAGTAAGAGAATTTTCATAGCAAAGTCATTAGCAGGGAAAAAAGATCATTTCATAATGATAAAGGATTCAATCCATCAAGAGAACACAACTATCCTAAATGTTTATGCACCTAACAACACAGCTTCCAAATAAATGCAGCAAAAACAGCAGAGCTGCAGGGAGAAACAGGCAATTACAGAATTACACAATGGGATTTAGGAGACTGCAATCATTACATTATTACATGTCGCAGTTCAAATCTGATTTGATCCCAAATTTATAACAAAATCCAAGCTGAAAATCAAAATCAAATGCCTATAAACCATGACTTCTCTCTCTGAAGTTCTGTCCTACCACTTTCCCTTTTGCTCACTTAGCTCCAGCCATAATGGCCATCTTTCAGTAGCTTGATCCTAACCCAAAGCTTGCTCTCATTTCTGAGCTTTTGTACTTGCAGTTCCCTACGCAACAATGCTCTTCCCCCAAATACCTACGTGACTCTGGGATGTGCTAAAATGCCGCCTCTTGAGAGGCCTTTCCTGATTACCCCATCTTCTCCTAACCTTACAGCCCCACATGTCTGTCCGTTTGTCATACTTTGGTGGCCTGTGCATTGCTGTGATGCCACTGGTGTTTTGAATACCAGTAGGGTCACCCGTGATGTGGACAGGTTTCAAAAGAACTTCCAGATGAAGAACATACTAGGAAGAAGGAATAGGCAGTCCATTTCTGAGGGATGAGCCCCTGAAAAGCTTATGAATAGCAGAGAAACACTGGCTGGCATTAGACAGAGGGCTGGAAGAGGAGCTTCTCAGGTTGGAAGACATTTAAAGTATGACTGAGAAAGAGCTGTCCCCTCAAAGTAGAGTCAACCTTAATGACACGGATGCAACTAAGTTTTAAGAACCTTCACGTTTGCTGATGGGCACAACTCAAAATGAGAAGAAACCGCTGCAAACATCCATTAATGATCAAAACATGGAATATACAAAGTATGACTCTAGAAAAATCAGAAGTTGTCAAAAATGAAATGAAATGCATAAAGATTGACATTCTAGGCCTTAGTGAGCTGAAATGGACATTTTGACTAAGACAATCATATGGTTTACTGTGGCAGGAATAACAAATTCAAAGGAATGGTGTTGCATACATTGTCATAAAGAATATTTCAAGGTTTACGTTGAAGTACAATGTTGTCTGTAATAGGTTAATATATCTATATACCCACAAGGAAGACCAGTTAATAAAACTATTATTGAAATTTATGAACCAATCACCAAGGTCATTGATGAAGAAATTGAAAAATTCTACTAACATCTTGGTGTTGCACTGTAGGATAAACACTGGACTGCTAACTGCAACATCGGCAGTTTAAACCCACTAATTGTTCCACGGAAACCTAATGAGTTGGAACCAACTTAACCGCATCTAACAATAACAACCAACTTCTGTAGTGTGAAACTGATAAAAACAGGCAATCAAAATGCATTGTTAGTTCCTAGTGATTGGAATACAATAGTAGGAAACAAAGAGACAGGATCAGTGTTGGAAACTATGGGCTTGATGACAGAAATTAAGCTGGAGAGCTCATGAGAGAATTCTCGGAGA